GCTTATTATGTTCTGTGGCCTACTAGATTTTAGCACTTTCAATATTTTCCCTCTAGTAGCATTGAGTGGCCCATCCCTGCTCTATAGGATAAAACTTATACAATTAATCCTAGTCTCTAAATATTTATATATAATTACATATTATTAGGGCGTGGATTTTAATGCCCTAAAAATACCTAAAAATGCAATTATGACCTAAACAATTTAATTAATGAAGTAAAAAAATTACAATTTTATTACACACATTATTTATCTTTACTTATCTTTCTTCAAAAGTGAATTTCTCTGGATAATAGTTTGGTTATTTTGGCAAACGCTCAGTCTGTGTCATCGGTCATCTGAGTCTGTTTTTAATTATTTAAGAAGGTAATTTTTTTTTAGTGTAAATGTGTGAAATCTTTAAATTTAAAACAAAAGGTAATACTATAAATAAAATAGTGTACGTTGGATTTTCGTATACGATTCAACATAAATTAACCAAGAGTACCTATACGATTGAAATGTAGCTTGAAGAAGAAATACAAGTGTCCTGCAATATTATGTACACCGAAAGACATTTCTAAAACAAAATTAATAACAGAACATAATCATGCTGGCAATCATACTGCACTGGAAGTAGAAAAATTTAAACACAAGATAAAATACATTCATCGCTCCACTCAGAATCTAAAATAGTGCTAAAATATCTAGCTATAAACATAGTCAGATTTTTGTTAAGGCGGTTAGTGATCTTCCGAATGAAGTTTCAATGAATAATTATACCAAACGAAAGTTCTGTTAAACGCGTTATACAAAAACAATTTAAATCCTACTAAACCTACTTCCTTAGAAGATTTGAAAATTGAAAGTAAATATAGTAGATTAATTGTATAATATTAAAATATTGTAACTTTAGATGAGTGATTCCCGACATTTTTTTAATCAACGTCAATTTTAGATTTTCAAAAATCTCACACCTCCTCCCCCCGGACAAATTAAAAAAAATTATAGTTTAATTTTTATAATCAGCCTTTTAATTAACATTAAAGACAAAATTCTATACACAATTTTTATTTCTATCTACTAAATTCTGTAGTGAATGCAGGTAGGTATACGACTATATACACCAAATTATTACACCGTATTCGACTAAAGAAAGCTTACCTATCGATATCAAAAATTATGGAGAAGATAAAAGCTTGTTTATTACCATTTGGCTGTTATTTAATGATGATATTTTAAAGTGCATACATTTTATGTATACCTGCATAATTCTGTATATTAGTTTTGGTACATTATTATTCTTGATTATACGCATTTCCCTTTAAATTTTATTTCAACAAGTTATGAACAATAAAAATGAAAGCCACAGTAGAATTACTGTTGGGTATTATCACGTTGGGAATCACTACTTTAGATAATAATCGTAAATTATTGAACAAGTTATCCCGTGCAATATAAATTATATTTAATTTGTAATTTAGGTGGTTGGTCATTGAATGAAGGAAAACGGTTTTTGTTATCCGACAACTTGGATTTAAACCATGAACGAGTTATAATATTAGCTGTGGATGAAGGACTTCGTATATTGACAGAAGCAAGCACTTGGTACTGTGATGGAAATTTTAACCTCAGTCCTGATAATTTTATGCAGTTATATGTAATACGAGTCCCTACAAATTATTTTTTTATTACTGCTCCTTATTGTTTATTAGAACTTAAGACGACTTCAATTTGTGAAACTATGTTTAAAACCATGATTGAAAAATGTGAAGAACAAAATTTGTTCCCCGACCCCAGGATTTTAGATTTTGAAAAGGCGCAGTAATTACAGCGGCTAATAATGTTTTTGGTTCAGAATTAGTTATTAGAGGGTACTTTTCAGGGGCGTCATTTGGGGTATTGCAGGGTATGCCTATGCATACCTAAAATTATCAAGATGCAATTTGGCCCGACTATAAATTTTCTGCGCCGGGCAAAAATTATCGTTTTTAGATTCTGAGTGGAACGATGAATGTATTGATTTTACAATGATGTGTGTTTTTTTTATTTTTTTTGTGTCTGTGTACACGATAAGTAGTCGAAATAATGCTTCGATTTTCAACTTCAGTATCTTGTTCGATTGGAAAGTGAATATCGTTGGTGAATTGGGGAGGTCAAAATTAAAATATGAGCACATTTATTTTTTACAGACATTTTACATTCATATTTGGACAAAATTACATATTAAAAAACCTAAAATAACTATTTTAGTTATTTTGTTGCGATTGAATAATATTATTCGTGGGTACTTGATACTTGAAACTTCTAAAGTGTACTATTATATATCTATGATAGTATCACGGTTTGTTGTTGATGTATAACGCTTATAAGTACCTAATGGATATTGTGATATGATTAATTTGGAATTTATTATAGGTACCTAATTATAGGTCATTTTTTTGTTTAATATCATAGATATGTATATAATATGTCTTATATAGTTATACCTAGACTGACGTACCGTCTCCGCTCAGAATCGTTTTTCTTGTACAATGATATTATATCGTTGAATTCAAATTTAATATCATCCATTATACAGTGACCTACTTGTAACCTACTGTACAGCAGAGCGACATCCACTTGCCCACCTTTTTTATTTTTATATATATAATTGGTCTCGAGTATCGGAATCTATCATTTATGGCTTATGCTATATGCCCCTATATAAGACCATACGCCGTAGTAAATAGTAGATAAATAACTTATGTGTGATTAAAGATTTCAGAATTTGTTTTGTTTTCCTTAGTGTTTATAAATATGAAATAATGATATTGAAAATAAAATAATGTACGTTTTAACTGTGTAGTATTGGGTGTACAATATTGGTATTATATGAAATGATTTGATTGATGAAAAATCAAAATTTCGAGCGGAGCGAGAAAAAATTTTTTTTTCTAATTATTATAGTGTATATAATAATATATATTGGCCTGCTGAACATTTTTTGGCCTGCCCTGATGTTAGCATACCTTTCAAAAAGTTGAAATGACGCCCCTGGTACTACTTTTACCATCTTTGTCAAAGTACATTTCGTAAAGTCCAGGAGTTAGGTTTACAAACAATGTATATAAATGATGACAAAATTAGTAATATTTGTTCTATGAAGTATGATTGATGTATGATTGATGGTCTGGCATTCCATCCCCTTGAGCGGGTTTACGAGTTAATGGAGTTTTTAAAACAAACTAATAGGTATCCCTGAAGCGAATGAACTATTAAATATTTAAATTACTTTGACGTCACATATGTAAATGGTTCGTATAAGAGAGTTGGTGCTGGTATGAACATAAAGTTAAGAAAAACTAAACCCTTATTTCTACCAAAAACGTGGAATGTCTTTGAAGCCACATTAAATAATGAACACAGGACAAATAATATATGTAAATAGTGGAACAATCGCTTCACACACTTAGTAGGACATGGTCATCCAACAATATGGGTACTAATTCGCAAAATTAAACTCGAGGTAGGAGCCAATAGGGCAAAGATTGCATTAAGTAGCATGGGACAAGCAATAAAAAAGTCGAAAACCAGTCAAAAAAATATAAGGCTCCAAACATTATGCGAACCCATAAGAAACTCTGAGTTAGTGTCGAAGAGTTATTAACTCAAGTTGGAAACAATATTAGAACACGGCCAAGGTTATAGACTTTTTATTTGATTTTTTCATTTAATGAATCATTTATTTGTTATCATATATATACTTTTATTCGCGGACTTTTATCTCATAATATATATGTACCTAATATTTTTAATTTTTATTGTATTATTACTGTGTAAATTCCAACCAGATGTGTCATTAAGGGGATATGATGCAGCGTATTTATTTCATGATTTAGACCTAAAATCCTGACAAAAATACGCCTACTTAGAATTATCAGATTTCAATTTTGTAAAAAGATTCGAGTTCATTGACAATTTTCCTAGGTTATTGTGGGAATCAATTTTCGATATTTTTTTAGAATTCACGTTAAATCATATTTCGATTTCTCAATTTTTTGAAAATTGTTTGTGTCTTTCTTTAAAAAGTTAAACAGTTATTCAAAAATCGACTCCCACAATAACCTAGAAAAAAGAACGATGAATTCAAATATGTTTACAGAACTAAAATCCGATCATTCTAAGTTATCGTATTTTTGTCAGGCTTTTAGGTCTCAATTGATTGAAATTAGTTTCTCGTTGGAACAAATATTTTATTATGTGACATGTGCATGCGAGTGCGAACCACTGATTCCGAACGTATCTACGCACACTAATGATCATTTACTTCGCACACAAACACACTGCGAAACGACTATAATACATCGAATTGCCTATACACGACCCCTTATTAAATCACCGGATCGAATCCCCTTAACATTGATTGATTGAACATGTCATTGAACATATTTATATAGGTATTTTTATTTTTATTATTATTGTATTTTTGGAATATTTATAAGAATTCATTAACAACATTAAACATCACGCATTAAGAACTCTGTGTTAGGCGTCGAAGAGTTTTTATTTAATTTTTGAATTTAATAAAATATAATTTACGTTATATTTTTGATGTAGTATATAATTAATATACATTTTAATATTTTAAATTTGTATTGTATTGTTACTGTGTATTTGGTGTGTAATATAAATATACATTTTTACCGGACTTTTATTCACGGACTTTTTTTCGCCGGACTTTTAAGTACAATACCGGTTAGTGGTTACCAAGGTGACGAGTGCGTTATTATTTTTATTGTAGCGATGTATTATTATAATTTATACAATGTGTATACGGTATAAGGAAAGGAGTTACAAGCGGAGGAAGATGCGGCAGGTGCAGCGTAGGAATAATATTATATCGATAATGCCTGATTCTAGTTTCTAGCAACCATATTTTATAAAAAATAAAACGTTTGTAGCGGTAATATAATTATCTATAACTAGGTATACATACATAACTACCTATTACCTACCTATACGATTTAACAAATGATACAATGAGCGGCGGTGCTGACGACAAAATAAAAGAAGACAACGAATGCCGTACAATGAGGTATTATGAAAGTTATTATATGTGTGCACGATAATAATAATATAAATAATAAGACTTATTTAGGTAGTAGGTATACTTATCGTCATTCGTCGTTATACTTACGAGTAATGTTCTTCTCGTCGCAGACATAGCGACGCCTTAAACTGGTTGTTTTACTAAATAGGTGTTATTGTTATATATCATATTCATATAACCAGTGGCGGATTTTCAAAATTTTTCTGTGGGGGTCTTAAAAAATAATACGTATTTCAAATGTATTATTTTTATTTTTATTTTTATAAAAATAATTAATTAATTATACCTATTATATGAATGTACAGTGTCTATGGGGTCCAGACCCCCTGTACCCCTCCCCCCGTAAATCCGCCACTGCATATACCTATATTTTATACTGTAGTAACTACCATTATTCAATATTATTTTTATTTTTGGGTCTTCGCTGCCACAGACCGAAACTGAAATACTCGATGTCGTACTGCCCGTCCATGTCTAGGCCGTTGGACTTCAGCGTAAAAGGTCCCGTGCCGATTTACATACACAAAAAACAGAAAGTTCTCACCGGTTGTTCGTACATCGAACTCAAGTTGCAAAAACACTCAAAGGTGAGTATTTCCATCATTTTTATCATTTATCAATATTTAAGTGTTTTGTAGTTAGGTACTTTGTGTTCATACTACCTATATATATAATATTATAATAGTTCATATAAGAATTAAGATCTTGCAGGCTAAAAAACTTTGTAGTGAAACTATATTTACTAAATATAAAATAAAAATATATTTTCAGAAAATTGTAATGTTTCGACGAACGGAGTAGGTAGCGAAACACAGTAGGTTTAATCAGTGTAATTTTTTTATTGTATACACTATAAACTATAGTATATAATTAGGCACAATTTTTATTTTTATTTATTCATCAACAACTTTAGAAAAGTCATATATTCAGCTACCTAGTTACATGATAGAAAATTAAAAATTCGATTTCACGGTTCAAAATCATGATTTATGAGTAGTAAACCCAGCAAGTTGCAACTCTAGCATACGGGTAAAATAAACAAGAACAATTTATACCGAGGTATATTACCTATATCAGTAGTTACTTAAGTTACTGCCTATATTATTATGTTATAATTAGCTAAGGCTGTGAATTCAATGAATTAAAACACCTTAGCAAATAAAATTAAAATCTCAACAAAACATGGAGTAGGTAAAAATGGACTTTAAGTATAGTTATCTACTATTAATACTTAAGATGCACCATAATTTAAAAAATATAATTATCCATAAAGTGTAAAATATTTTATATTAATTAAGTAGGTAGGTACGACGTGCAAAACGTGTAAAATATTTATAAGACATGAAATAAAACTATTTCATAGAATGTGTGCAAAAAGTTTTAACTTACGGAAATTATTGAGGGGGCATAAAATATACAACGTTGAAAACCACTGGTTGGCACGTACCTACTCAAGCTGTCAAAAATATAAGAAAATACCTATTTTTACAATAGTGCTGCGGAGCCTATGATTTCAGAGCCCGCGATCTACGACCGAAAAAACCTAATTTTCTATATTTTTAATCACATATTCACATGCAGGTGGGCGAAATAACGTTCAGAAACTATTACACAGCCAGCGTGAGCGTGCTACTGTTGAAATCGAATACACTTCAAGGACCGGCGATGGGATCGAGAAACTGGGAGGTGGGCATCAAGAACCGAACTCTGATGAACCAGCCGCACTGCGAGAACGGCGCCCAAGACTATTTCTCGCTGTTTTCCACAGAGGTAGGTACGGGTAAAATGAGCACAAGAGTTAATAGACATGATAACTCGAATTCCTTTATGGAGGTCGACATTGTTATAATATTATACCCGGTCGGCAGTCACCCCTGCAAGTACCTATTTCATAAGACTTTTTTTTAATTTTATTTAAATATATTAGGTGATACTTAAGTAATTAAAACACATTCACGAAAAATCTTTTATTTTGTTTTGATTACCTACCTATTTTACAGGGATTATAGAGAATAATATTTTTGAGGATTTTTTTTTTTTTTTTTTTATTACACAATATTATATACAATCTGTACAATTATGCACGATTAGCATATTTGATAAGGGTTAAAAATAATACATGAGTACGTGAGTAAGAAGCCACCCATTAGTGGCACTTGACTGGAAGTTGTATGAAGCTAGCTATATTTGAGGATTTAACATATCAATTTGACTAACTATTGCCTCGAAACAATTGAATATTAATTTAAATGAACAAATTTTTTTTTTTATTTTCAAGTCGAATAAAAATTAAATATACAAACGTTGGCATATCGTTAACACATTATTCTCATTAATTTTTATGATAAGTGATTTTACTCTAAAATTACTCAATCTCAAATAAAATGATTTTACGTAAATGCGTTTTGTCTATTTTGCACATGAGTCTGAGATAAAAAACAAATATTGCGTTGACAACCTCTTAAAATATAAAATTGCCTAAACTAGGTTCATAATGTTCATATTAGGTATACAATATGTATAATATATTTTGGACGGAAATTTGGACGCATTTACTATGTTAGTACATTTTTATACTTTTATATAATATAGGCATGGAACAACGTTTCAAAGCTTAAAATCATACTCAGACAACCGTCGCCAATGTGCAAGACTTTCCACTTGGAAGAAATCAAGCTGTATGCCGACGTGCCCAGGTTTGGCCGGCCGTTTTTTGAGGTGAGTCGCTGTCACCATAGTATAAGAATAAATACACGGGGGTCTGTTTGATTCCTTGATAAATTATTTTTTTTTAATTTGTTTTCCAAGCAAAAATTACCACCTTATCTGATTCATAACACCACGGCAGCCATTTCGTGGAGACCAAGTACAAAGACCTACAATGAAATGCAATTTGCACATAGACCAGACACAAATAACAAGGTACCTATAAATATACGACAATAAATTTATATTTAAATAACATTTGATTTTTTTTTTTTTTTCAAGACTCAATGTCTTGGTTATGTAGTTGAGCAAGTGCCAAACAATTATGACAGTTCAAAAATAATGTAAGTTGGGAACCTTAAAAAAAGATTCCTGTCATCCAACAAAATAACCATAAATACATTATTTACACAAAACAACAATAAAAAAACTTACTCTTTTCATTTATTGCAAAAGTATATTATTATGAGATAATAATAATGATGATTGTACATTTTCAATTATTACAGAAAAATATATATATATATATATATTATATAAACTTATGTATTATAATAAGAATTTCTATGATATATGACTAAATTATTACAAGTAAAAAGAATTGTATAATAATAAATTACGATCTTATATCATCTTTAAAATATAGCTCTATTTTAGATACAAGACACATCAGAATTTTTGTTTAACACCCCAAAATAAAATAAATTGAAGAGTATTTTCTTATTATATAATTTTTTTTTGTAATAATTTAACACAAAAAAAAAATTCACAAGTACATATTAAAAAATCATTGATTTTTATGGCTCTTCAAAATACATTTTTGAGATTAAAAATCCCTCAGACTTGCAATTAAATTCGTCAATAATTTAATAAAAATTGCTTACACGATCATCAAATGAGCTTTAAGATGTATCACAGGTTTATCACTTGACAAAAAAAAAAAATCTGTTGTATTTTGTTAAAATTAAAATTCTAACATTGTAACAGTTGATTAAAAGAAGATTGGATTTCAAATAAATAGATATGTATAATTTTTGCATTTTATTTGATTATCTATTTTAGTTATTAGGAAAGGGTCGAACTCAAAATGTCTGTATTTAATTCAACAACAAATAGAACCAATACCTAATGAAGACAGTTTTTTTCCACTAATGTATTATGGACACTGCTATGATAAAAAAATATATAAAGATAATACAGGAATTTTCTCTTTTAAAACTTCCAATAATTCAATACATTTTTAATATTTATTTTAGTATTTCTATCTGAAAACTATGGTCAATTTCTTTTATTTATAGTAAACTTTATCTGGTATCCGGTTAATACTGATAAAATAATACTCTTGTAACTGTAAGTACGTCGAGAAATTAAAGCACAATTTGAAATGTAGTTAAAAAATATCTTATGTACACATACGAAAATAACATTATGCGAGGACTGTAAAGAACATTATGATTAAGACTTGTATTGTTATGTTGAATATGTCTGACGTCCAGCCAACTCTAGTAAGTATCTATCCGGGTGATCTAACCATTCTTTAGATGTCATCTTTAATTTTCGGGTCTTCTCGGCCTCTTTGATTTGCCAATTCTTTATATCCAATTGCACTTCTCTAAAATACAAAAAAGATTTATCATATGAAATTAACATTATAACTAGTATTAGTGAATAATTGAAAGATAATAGCAAAAATACATTTTTGACAAATACAAAATTTATTATAATAATTTATCATAAATACCTATTTTTTGGTGAACCACAACCCCATACTTCAACGCTTTCTAACTTGTATGGTATGCCACAGTGTGTAACATGTTGAAACGAGTCATCAACTTCAATTGATGGTTTTCGAGGATCATTACCAGCTCTGATGCCCTTTGGGTATCCACGTATGGATGTGTTCAAATACATAGATTTTGGACCACCTTAATGAAATTGGATGGTATTATAAAGAGTTTTAATTCTAAGTTACCGTGGTACTTACGGTTGATTACTTTGTAAGTGGGTAATAATTGCAAAATTATGGTGTCATCTCCACCCCAGTACTGGTGTGACTCCCGCCATTCGGATGTACCTCCCATGCAAAATAAGACGCCTTCATCACCTCGCAAGAACGTTAACGTTGGCCCCCGATAACTCAGCACGTGGTGTAAAAACCTATAAAAAAAAAAAAAGAAGAAAAAAAAACAAAAAGATTATATTCCTTAATTATTTAAAAAGAGCTGCGCACAAACATCATATTTGAACGTTGTATGTAAAGCACAATGTAAAAAACAGATACATTTTGAAACAGTATAAAATATTCATAATAGTTTACTTGGAAATAATTACCTATTACTTCCGATACCGTGTTGATTGCTGTTGTACAATAGTGTCCAATGTGATGGACAAGAAAAGTCCAACTGTAATAGAAATATAAAACATAAAAGCTCGGATGCTTTCAGCTTGTTTTCTATTACCAATTTAATAATAACTACCCACTATTGCCTACAACTGCCTAGCTTATAATTACACACACTTGATTCAATTTGTTATTCCTATTAGTTATGCCATTAATGATGTATAATATTAGGTAGTGGTCCTATACAGTTTATGCACTCTCATTTAATTAAGGTCGTTTTCACAGTTCCACACCTACTGGGGCTTCAGCCTATAACTAGCATTTTATACTTCTGCAATGCCAATTAAAAAAAAACGCATTAAACAATTATTCATAGGTTGTTTTAAATTTACTTTTGTTTTTTTTCCACACTCAATTAGCACCATTTGATCTTGAATTGTACTGTAAAAATATATTCAAGAGAAAACGTGTTATAATTCAGTATTGAATGATACATTAATTCACTATCAAAAAACGTATTTATGTCCGCTACATGATATAATATTTTCTAGTGTATGATGAAATTGGAGTGAAATGTAAACAATTACAGAAGATATCTTTCAAATTGTAATCTACTCTCAGAATACTTTTTAATTAATACATGCTAATCTGATAAAAATGACTCAAGTCGCCTTGAAATAGGTAAATATGCTGATTCATGTGTGTGTGTGTACCTACTTCGTAGTAACTCCTTACGAACACAATAGAATATACACGAATGACCCACATTGGGCAAAAATGCGAAATACGTCTTCGTTATTTGTTCCTTTGTTTATTTATAAAGCTACGATCTCATAGCCCTCCATCACAATCAATCAAACAAAAAAAGTACTATACATTTTATAATAATAATAATAATAATAATAATAATACGAACATTTAATTGGCAAACCAACACGATTGTTTAGCCACACCCCTTTGTCTATTTTATAACGTTTTCACTTTTAATATTGATCTCGGTCACAAAATACGTATCATTTATCGAGATCCAATAAAAACAGTAAAAAAACAAAACAATACGGTAAATAATATTGTGAAAAATACCTGTCTACTCACAAATAGATACAATTTACATCAGGTAGGTAGGTAGGTATGTAAAATGTAAAAATAGTCCTAACCAAATTATGTTGTTTTTACGCACGTGCGTGTTTTGGTAAAATAAGCTATTTATATATTAAAAGATCGTTGCATTTATAGGTACAACACTTCGCGACCGAAATATTACAGTCATTGGACCGTTTAGAAGTGCCAAAATAAATATATGTGTTTTCCCAAGAACCATGTTTTTAAATATAGTTAGAATAATCAAATAATGTATGGTTACCTTTACCTAACTAAATTGTTTAATTTTTTTAAATTTTATTAAAATACATTAAAAAAAAAATCCTGGCGGATAACAAAGGCAATGTGTTAGGTACTTGGATATCATGAACTCCTCGGTGCAGGACGCGATATAATATGTTATGATATTAAATTAAATTAAAATTAAAGTTTTTCCGTAGGTAGCACGTATATTAATAAATATTCACAAATATAAACATCCGTATTTTGTTTAAGATTAATACTGTAATAATATGACGATAATGAAATATATTATTATAGTTTTTCAAATAAAAGCTTGTTGATATAATCGTATCATTATTATTTGAAACCTAGAACAAAAAATAATCAATACCTAACCCGAGAGCTCGTTATTTTAGAATACCGTAGATACCGGTAATAAACAAATACTAGATACCGATTACCGGTATCAAAATGTTTCTTTGCTGATTATTTAATTAAAGACTATAATAATTAACAGTCATTAAAATCATTTAAAATTTAATTACTATAATAGTTTCGAAAAACTTGTATTATTATGCGGTTTTTGTTTACCTACTGGCTACTTCCTAGCTGAAAAATGTCTCTATTTTATCTATACGCTATTGACACTACATAATTTATTATATAAATTGAAAATCATGATTGGAAAATCATTTATGTATGATTTGAATACATTTACTTATCAAGGACAATCGACATTGACCTTAACCGCTCAATAGTATCATGGTCACATTTATAACTGGCTTAAATTACGTTTCTTTATTCGAATAAAATATATATTTTATTTTAAATATAAAGTTGATGAATTGTTTACGGTCATGTTTTTTTTGTATTTTTGTATATTTTTTTATATAGGTACAATAAAAAAATTGATCGCCTAAGAATATTAAGAGTAAATACGTAGGAAAGTGCGTATTATTACGAAATAGGATTAATAAATAATTTGAGGGACAAACCCAAAAAATCTTTAAAATGTTTGATTCATATTTTTTTTAGGGATTCAAGGGCTAATTGAAAAACTTGAACGTTTTAGGAACAGTAGATACTAGAATACTAGATAGCAAGAGTGGACGCAAAATCAGCATTTTGCGTTCAGCAAAACCAATTTTGTGTTGTTTGCCTTAATATTAAAGTGAATTGGCCTATAAATTATTATAAAACATTTAGTCAAGAATATTATCTGTGTTCGTATTTTGGTTTTTCTACAATATTTGAATTTTTTAACAAGTATGTGTTTGTAAAATATTATAGAATAAAAAAGATTATAATTTGCTTAAAAATTACAAAATGCAAAAAAACAAACGATTAAAACATAAATAATTTTCTTACTTTTAAATTTCATAACGAGTCAAAGTAAATTCACTCTAATAGTCTTCATAGGTATTTAAAGTAAACAATGCAAAATTGGTTCTGCTGAAGCCTGCAGTTCTGAATGCAAATTTGCTATTGTACGTTTGAGAATATGTCACGAGATGTTAAAACGTAATATTAAAGTATAGTACCTTATACTTATTGCCTATGAATTATTTTCGAAATCCATATCAAAGCCATTTTACAAAAATCAAGAAAATACCAATATCATGTAGGTATATTAAAAACAATTTGAAATAAAGTTATTTATGTTGAAATAGAGGAGTCAATTAAAATTGTATTTATCAAAACGTATACAAAGGTAATAATAATCAATTTAAAAAAAAAAAAAATGCTATTGTTAGTTCGATTTTTGAGTGATCATTTTAGGTAGGTACACTAACACATATACCTACTATGATAAGTGTTATCATAAGTCCATTATTATATAAGAATAATATTTAAAGATTAAAAAATTATAAAGTTAAGTAAATTTCACTTAAAAATATCTACAAACAGAAAGTAATTAACTTTAATATGAAATTGTACCAAGAATAACTTCAAAATTGTTATAAAATTGAACAAAAAAATATGATAGCTACCAAGAAATATATAAAAATATATGGTCACAATAATATAACACATTGATCTATTATCTTATACAAAGATTGAACAAATCAATTAGAGATTATACAAAATTATTTGAAAATTTAACATACCTAATGTAACTTACCGACCTAAAAGTCAAATTAGTAATGAAGGCAAAATAATTGAATTATTCTCTTCATATTTTTACAGTTACTAAAACTGGTTTTAAAAGTAGGGTTGCCAACTATTAGTAGCTATTTTTGTTTGAATATAAAATGTTACGTACATTATTTCAGATTCAATATACAACTGGTTAATACTAAATGTGAAATTGAAAAACTACTTTCACATAATTTACAAAGTACGTACACTTTTCAAAGAAAAAAAAATTAAAACAAGAGATGTACTAATATCTATATAATATAATATAATAATACATTAAGAGGATTTGTTTTCTCTTTCTGGCCCACGCGCAACATAGACAAAACGCATAATCATTTTTTCTGTTATTAAGTAATCTTAGAGTAAAATCACACATCACAAAAAAGATAGAGAATAATATTTTTGAGGGAATGACATATCGATTTGTCTAAATATTGTCTCAAAACAATTTAAACATAATTTAAATTTACAAAAAAATTTGTGTCTTTTGAAAGTCAAATAACAATCAAATATAAAATCAATATATCATTTCCTCAAAAATTTTATTCACTATCTGTTTTGTAATGGGTGAAATGAATCTATGATAACTTAAAAACATAGAAAAAATGATTTTGTGTTAATGTGTTTTGTCTAGGTTGCGAGTGCCTGCGTGGGCCAGAGAGAAAACAAATAGTGTGCTGACATCCTCTTAAATAATAATGTTAACTTGAGCCAGTATCTAAATTTATTTCATTATTTGTTATTTATTGTAAAATGTTTATTAAATTATAGTTTTATAGAATTTATGAGAAACTCAAATTTTATGAAAAACAAAAAGAATTTGAGTGATCAGGAAAATTTTAAATATTAAATTTGAGTAAACAGTATGTGTGAATTATGGCAAAGCAAAGTGATGATAAAATATAATATTAGGTATGCTAATTTTTAGTAATAAACAATTTACCTATTAGACAATTAATATTTTTTACATTTTATTATAACTTTACGCTAAAATAATTGTATATTTAAATAGGGATAAAAAATCTCAGAGAATGTACTTGCTTGTTATATTATTAAATTTGAATCAAGAAAATGGCCCCCAAAAAAAGAGTTAAAATACTAATCAAAAACTTACAAATTTTGATAAGAAGTTTTGAGTGTTGAAACAATTTGGTGTTGGTTTGGAATGCAAAATTGGTTGAGTATATAATGCTGGTAATGTTGTAGATAATATCCACACTTGAGACAATGGCAATAATGGATTTTTTTCGGTTTTGAACAAGTTTTCTTGTTCCAAAACTGGTGTTGTCAATTCGAGATCCTGTAGTAAAATAGAATCAATTAATATTTAATTAAATCACAAACAATTCAGTAAAATTTACTCACATTAGGTTCGTTTTCCTAATGAGGTAATAACAAAATAGAATCATATTCAAAATTATTAAATTGTTTTCCCTGCATAGAAATCAATTATAGTTATTTAAATAACAATATATACTTACATTAGGTTTGGAATATGGGCACTTTTCAATAACGGATCTGTAACCAGTGGATAAGATGTGGACAATATACCGATGAAGTAGGACAATTAACCGTGGGCAATGTTGAAGTATCCAATTGGTCAAGTATCCCACTTTTAGCGTTAATTTTTTATGAAACTAAAAAAATAACTTAAATTAACATGCATAAATGTAAATTAAGCAAAATAACTCACTGCAGAATCAACAACAGATTGGACAGTCTTAAATATATAACGACATGACTGAGGCCCTTCAGGATAATGATCCATCGCAAGTTTATAAACAGCTATGAGTAGATCTCGAAATTGGTCTTGATCAATTTCTTCTTTTCCATCAGCATACATCTAACAATCAGTAATAATAAAAAAAAGAATATTCTTTGCGGATGGGAAAAGCTACACAAAAATGTATACCATATAAAATTTGAAAGCAATATTATATCATACAAATTATTTTAAGCACATTGTTAGCAGTTTGAAAAGAACTGCAAAAATAACAAGTATACCTAGCTTAATTTTGCTAAATAGCCTAATAAAATGATGTGTTTATGTGCCATAAATACTGACATAAAAATATTATTCTACAGAATTCATAGCAAATGCAGGGTTTTTTACCCAAATTAACTGGAATCCACAACAGCCCCTAAAAATCAGAATACAAAAAACCCGTATCCTGGACAAAAGTCTGGTTCGAAAAAAGTTGAACAAAAAGTCTGGACTCATCTCTTTATTGCCAGACAAAAAGTCCGAAAAAACAAAATATTCTATTACATTATCATTACTAATTATTTTATACTATAATATATAGGTAGGTACCTGTAAATATAATTATATAGCTATATTTAATATTAATTTAAGCAATTTTATTAATTTTATTATACAATATTAAAATAATATTATAGGTATTTGATTACTATTCCTTACCTAAGGTTAACAAATATTATAGTACCATATAACAATTTAAAATAATGGTCAATATAAAAGTAAGTTCAAAAATATAAACCTTTTGGCTTTTATTAATGTTATAAACAATTTAAAAAAAATTATCAAAACAAACATCAAAAATTCTACAATAATAATATATTTAAAATTAGTTAAGTTTTAAAAAAATTGTCAATACAATATTGACTCTACAATAATAATAATAATTATATTGACCATTATTTTGAATAATAAGTAATTTACAATGAATAGTAATCAAATATAATACATTAATATTGCATAAAAAAATTACATTTTTAAAATGAATATTAAATATGTATTACCTACATAAATGTATAATATATTATACTAATTATTAATATAACTATAAATGAAAATGTAATAAGTACAATATTTTGTATTTTTAGACAATTTGTCCAAAAATGAAAAACTGAGTCCGGACTTTTTGTCCAACTTTTTTCTTAGAGGATTAAATTTGAAAGAAAAAAATGTATAAGAGACCTGTTTCCATGTACCTAATGAAGTTATATTATTGAATTACATTTTAAAAACCACGGATATCATTTACACATATTACTACGTATCAATTTACAAAAACATATTCATTAAGTAGGTATATTGTAGTTTTTAATTTGTAAACAAAACTATCACTCATAACAGAATGTATCATGTTAAAACTCACATAGGTAGGTATTATTCCTCATTGAATGTCAATAGCATCGAGATATTTAATCAAATCATCAGATTTTTTTTAGATTATTTAAACAATTATTACAAAAACAAATGATTTTCAACTTATATTAGATAATATAGATAAAAATATTATTATCAATATATTTATTGAATGAATAAATTTAAATAATATGTTGAGTATATGAGCTATAAAGTAATTAGCTAACTGAACAATTATTATATAATGACCGGTTATAGTTTTTTAGCCAGCACATAGGACCTATTAACTAACAATAAACATTCCATAGACCTTAGTTAATCTGAAATAATATAAGACTAAAGTCCTAATATATCTTTATAAATAATTTATAATTTATACACATACATCAATAAATAAAAATTAGTAACACACAATATATTATAAATTATAATACAACAGATACATTAAATACTACACTCAATTAAAAAAAAATGTGTACTAAAAATTATGAATACCAGTATAACCTAGTTTTTTTTTTAATATTTAAAATAACTAGGTAGGTACTACCTATATATATAATATTATATTTTACCATACTTTTATTTATTTATTTCACGCCAAACGGCAATTTATAGATACATAACCCCCTAACCTAACCTAACCTATTTTATAATATACCATAGTATCTTCAGTACAGATATAAAATTATATCATTTAAATTAACTTTTATCATTATATTAAATAATTATACCTACTTTGCAAGCAATAATTTATATATTTAACCAATTTAGATGTGAAATCCATACAATAATAGTTATATTCTAATATTGCAATGCATAACATACATCTATTTAATTATTACAGATCAAATTTCAAATATTATGTAATATAGAAGTACCAATAAATGTTGTAATATTTTAAAGTAAAAAAAAAATATATCTTTAATCAACACGTCTGTTCTTCATAAACAAATAAAATATGTTTATAAATACAATGGTATGTATCATAACCATAAGACATTAAATTATTTTCTTTAAATACCTTATAAAATAAAGATTAAGGCCTAAGCGCTAATGCATTATGTGTTAAACTTATTAAATATATGACTGTTTTAGCATATTAACTTGTCAGCACAAATACTATAGAAATAAATCATTCAATTATAACGTGATAATAACAAAATATAAATCCAATATACTATGATAATTGAAATTATCAGTTTTCTATAGAGTTCAATTACAAAAAAATTCTATGGTATTGGTAGTAATGAATCATTAATTATCATTTATCATCGACAAACTGAACAAAGTATATAGAGGTTAAAACCGATAGATTTAAAATTGGCAAGGGCAATTATCTATTAACAGTACCTAGTAAGTATTTTAAAATAAAAAGTAAAAAAAAAAAACCAAAATTCCAGACATTTACAATGAAATAAAGAATATAATTAATATCTAAATTAGACTTTAGTTTAGAAATTAATATCAACGACTAATATTTTTATGAGATCCTAATGCCACAATTGAGATAGTATGATAATATAAATGATGATGATGCTTCAACATTGTAGACTGCCTTGCCACTTATTGTAATGGTCTATGATTGGCTTGGCTGATAATTTAAAATAAACAAAAAACTAAAGGCTAAACTCAGTTTTATCTTATATTGGCACAAACACAAATGCAAATTAGAATATCTGTTTTGTAAACCATAGCCGACTTAGTATTCTAGTTGTTAAGATGACATTAAGAACTAAAATTAAAGTAGGTAACTTAATAGACTCGTGAACTATATACATACCAAAAATGTACTGTTAATGTTATAAATACTTCAATTTAATAAAAACTTTCTAAATCACAATAATTGACTTAGAACTTTAGTCTACCTATGTATCCATTAAATCAGAAGTTCAAAAACTGTTAAGTTTTGAAATATTTATATATTCTATACATAAATTCAAATAAATATGGAACAGTATTTTCCCTGTAACTACATATATTTTATATTGATGTTTGAATTTAATTTTTAACATTGATCACCGTCTGCGACAATTACAAGCGTGTTAATGACATGACTGAAAGTTATCGCAAAGATAGCAACCAACAATGACAGAAAAAAAGTCATCAGTATGTTGTGGGTCACCAAAATGGGCCGTACTGTGAATAGTTTGGGAACCTTACGTTTAAATGGATTACTATATTAATTAGAAATGTTGAATTCCATTTAAACGTACATTTAAACCCCATTGTATTGTGTAGGTATAAGGTATAAAATATCTATAATAATGTAAGTAATTAAAAAACCATACAAAAGTGCTCATAAACAGAATCTAAGACACTGACTTATTGTTTAACAAAATATGAAACAAAAATAACTTAGTTATTTTATAAATTTTATACCTATACTATTATATTATTATGCTTATTTAATTTGATATTTTAATTTATATTATTAATTAGTAACTTGCGTTTAATTTAAATTAATATTGCAATAGAATCATACATTTTTTTTTTGTTATATTCAACAGTTAAATTGTATTATTTTGTTTAGCACCTATTTACCTACACAACAATTTTAATATTTGAATGCGATGCATTATTTAAATTTATATATTATCTACCGATTACAAACATAAAATTATTAAGACTCGCTCACCATGACGTACATCAATACTTGGCGGTCATCAGCCAAAACACTCAGCAAACGTTCAGTTTGGGCTTTAAAGTTTGAATAACTAATTACATGGGAAGAAGCAGGACCACCAGATGAAGTTACCAGAAATGCAAAAAGTTTGCGAGCCATTTCAGGATATTGTGGAAACAAGTATCGCTTGAAAAAATATTTAAACATAAATAATTAAAATTAAAATTAAATATATACCTAAGACTATATTTATAGTTGTAAGAAACTAAAAATAGTTATGAATTATATTAATAATCATCTAATAAATTTAATAAACTAGATAAGTACCTTAAATACACCACAGCCTATGCCATTAATTGAATCTTCTTCTAAACTCTTTTGAATCAATAACTGAAACAAAAAAGTAAAACATCAAAGGTAGGCCCCTACATAAGTATAAATTAAATATTATTTAACAATCTTATAGATTAGGGGACGGAATGGCCGAGAGGTTTAATTTCGATCCCCGGCCGTGGGTGGTATTTTTTTTTGGGCAAGTCACAGTGTCCGGAGAAGAAGTGCTGCCATCCCCCACACTTGCAAGGCAGATACCTACGGGTGCCCACTAAAAAATCTACCAAACACACACGTGTTCCATTCCCTACAGTTTCACAGGCTAATAACCTCAGTTGTTGAAGCCTCAACCCCCCCCCCCCAAAAAAAAATCTTATAGATTAAAATATCTTATACATAGAATAACATAGGATAACAACTAAAAGTATGAAATAAACACGCTAATTTCCTAATAGTCCACTATTGGTACAAGTATAGGTACAACAAATAACAGAAATTTAAATTCATATTCAAAAAATTGCAATAGCTTGTACTTATTAGGTAATGTTATAAGTTATAATTTAATAAGTCTCAAAATATAAAATACACACAAAAGTTAAACAATATCAGAAATATTACTTTTAAAATTATAAGTATTTTTTTTCTTTGTTGTATTTTTCATATTCAATTGTTGATATATTATGTTCCTATTCTGGATTGTAGTTTGTGTCATAACTTGTATTTAACTGGAATTGAGGTCAAAGTAAAAACATACAGAACTTAATTATACTGGACTGGTGATAATTCTATAAACGATGTAGTTAAAAATTATTATTGTCTAACTATATTTATAATGTATAAGCTACCTATGTATAGTCATCATATCCAACAATTCATAACATCTAATATCATACATTCATACTATTTATAATTTATAACTTTGATACCTAGGTACCTAGTTTACAATATTATTTTTAATTTTTCTTGGGTATTTAATAAACCGAAATGTTGAATAGGTAATTATAGTTGTTACTTGTTTCTTAATGAAAAACACAATATAGTTAATATAAATTTAAAAAAAAAAACCAACAAAAATCAATTAAATAAAAACATAATAGGTAAAACTGACAAGCATCGTTTTCACCAAAATGAAAAAAGGTTGGTTATTGTTTCTGCCAAATCATTTTTCTTAGGACATGAAAAAATTATCATTTGAGATTTGAGAACTACGTCTACTAGTCTTGTCATTATTCTGGTTTTATGTTGTTATTTTTTCATGGTAAGTGTGATTAAATTACAATGTTAGTTTTTAGCCCCGTTCACAAGATCAAAAAATTTAGAACCATTTCTAAAATATTTGAAGTTTGACGTACATCAAATATGTTACAAACTATTTGATAATGTGAAGGGGGCTTTTGCAAAACACCAAAATATTGTTAATCAATCTATGGACATTTGAAAGAAACAGTTTCTATATTAAAATTTTAATTTCAAATACCTATTCACACTAATGAGATTATAATACATAAATAGAACAAATAAGCAGTTCTAAATTAAATATCTAAAAACTAAATAATAATAATAATAATAATAACTAATTAATAGGTACCTATGTCAACTGCAATAAATATAAAACTAAAAATATTACAGATACCTACATATGGATTTTTGAAAACAGTACCAAGTACCTACCATGTACCTACGTATATCTAGATTTGGCATACCTAAATGAAAATCAAACCTTTATTCACTTTGGCTCCCAATAATATAGTAACAAACAAGTATAATAGGCAGGTAAATACTAGGTATTTGGAATGACTAATCGAGTTTAAAACTGAAAATTCTATGAAATAAATGGTTAGGCATGCTTTTTAAAATTACCTTCAATAGGTAATTATGACGTATGCTACTGATATAAAAATAAATAATAAATCATAACTACCTATTCATAATACCTATACTATTCTGGTTCTTTTTAAATTCAGTAACACAAAAACAGTGAATATTTTGTTAACTATAAGTAGGTGTTCGTATAAAACTAGCTTAGGCCATAGTACAAATCGGCTCTTTGAATCATTGAACCATAATGCTTAATCTCAAAAACTCAATAATTACAAAAAACTTACTACCTAGTACCTAGGTACTTAAGTAGAATTGTGATTAATTTATCAAACCTAAAATAATTCCTAATGGTCTTAAATAAGTATGTACATTTGGTTGGTATTTGATTGTATAATATGTTAAAAATACAATTTATTACTTTACCTACCTACCTAATCAATGTTCATTCATGAGATAGGTACTAGTAAATCTAAAAGTAAATCAGGATTGAATTTATAGTAGGTTTATCGAATAAAATATAAACAATGAGTAGGTATACTATATGGATATAAATAAAATGTTTGATAAGTATAACAAAATTGAATGAGTCACATATTATCAAACAATCTAAATACATAACATTATATGAGACAACAGACCTATGAGAATAAAAAAAAAAATGGAATACCTTTCCAAGTTTCTCCATTGGTAACATGCCGAGCGTTGGGTCCTTGTTGAGTGAATTAATCCTGGCAGAGTGTAATTGTTCCTTGTGATTTAAATTGAAACTGTTATGGTTGCCCATTTTTATGATTTTTATTTACTTATATTTATTGATATTTGTGTTGTTAATATTTGATTAGAATTTGCAACGAGCAAAAAATACCTAGGAGTTGGTTTGTGTTGTATTCGCACACGTACTTGACACAAACTTGTTAAAAACGAAGACAAACAAAATACGAAATTAATTACAATTTTTTTTAAAACAACGAAAAGGAGGACTTGCGGCCGTCCGAGTTGCAACCGAGCACCGCGGAGACCAGATATTAAAAATGTTTATTGTTGAACATTGTTGTTGTTGTTGTTGTTGTTGTTGTTGTGCGGGGTGGTAAGTAGGTATAACAAGCGTATAGCGCCTATCGTGTCGGTCTCGCGTTCTGGGGAGGAAAATCGTGTGAAGATCGCGGACCGCGGCCTGGCGTTATCGTCGCGAACGGACAGCGGACAATCGCCGTCGAACCGCACCACCGCGTCGTGGACGAAATTAATTGTCGTCGTCGTCGACAAACGTGATATTGATTTTGACGTGCGCCATCGGAAATCGGAACGAACACGACACACGATCACACAAGGACGCACTGTTTGAACGCCGACGTGACGGGGTGAAAAAAGAAAATAAAGATTCAAGTGGAAGGTATTCCGATGGTGATGATAATAATAATAATAATAATAATAGCAGTATTGTATTATTATTACGATTAGTGTACCCACGACCAAGAGTGGTAATAAAGAGGACGATAAAACATAACGAAAACGAACACAGGTAATACAGCCAGCGAGAGCGGACTCGACGGGCGGCGAGCAACAGCAGCGCTGCGGTTGGCCTCAGCGCTGACGTTTCAACAACCGTGTTGGAAATCTTTTTACGAAATGGGACGCGGACGTTGTGCAGGAATGATTGACGGGTCACGGGGGAGGGGGGAGAGAGAGAGAGAGATAAAGTCGCCGCCGTCGAGAGTTGGCGTGAGAGAGCAATGGAAAATGAAAACCCACTGTACCTAGTACCTACTCTCCCACCACCACCGTTTTTTTTTACACATTTAATTTAACTATTCTTTCCCCTTCCTTTAACAGAACAGACTCGCGCATTTTACACCATGAGCGCTGCAGCGAGCGCCGAACAGCAGCCAGCAGCCTGCCGCAGCCCGCAGCAACTGTATAACTGTATAACGACCGTCGACCACTAGCGAATCGACGTGATTGGAAAAGTGTGATTAGCATTAGCCGAGCGGACTGTAAAATTCGAATAATAGTAAATAGTCATTGTTTCTCAGTATATATTTTATTATGTGGTCGTACTAACTGGTTGTACACAATGCCTCAAATATTATTATTATTATTATTAGTAGTATCAGCCACGGAATGGAAACGAGTAGCTTATCAGGGGCGTCCAATGTATGTTCTAGAGGTAATGTGCGGGGGGTCGCGAGGGGGGCACCTACAGCTTACAACGCCATCTGTATAAAACACGGACGTAGATACAAAATGTGAAGCCGAATAAGACCACCGGTAGCGCTTAAAATATTGGGAAACCAGTATTCTTATCTATGGTGGAACAATAGTATTGTTTATCTATCTCGATGGTGGAACCTTTTGGTTGCCGACCACCGCCCACGATTAATCAAGTTATCAAGTTATTAATCGTGCCCCCTCCGACCATGTTGTTACCAGTTTATATCTCAATCCGTGGTATCATGTTTTAATCGTGGTATAAAGGCGTATCACCAGGTCGGGCAACCAAATCGAAACATATAAATAATATAATTTATTATTATCTATTATTCATCGTCATTGTACATATTATTTTGTTATAATAAAAAAATATAATAATATGTAAATATTTGGACAACGTCATTTTAATCGTAGATTTACAATTTTTTCAAAAAATGTTGCGTTTTTCTTACTATAATATTAACCCAAATTTATTAATTTTTTGAAAACAACAACAGTGTATAAATTGTATTATCGTTGCCTTTTATAAATGCGGATAGATGGCGTCATATGATTGTAATAGAAATGTTGATTTTTAAATCTGAATATAATATTAATTAGGTAGGTAATTAATAATACTAATATATCAATATAATATATCATTGATTATATTATAATATTGAACAATATAATATACTATAAACTCAATGGTATTATGATTATTTAATATAATATATTTTTATCCTGGTTATTTTGACTCAAGACAGATGGGACTATGGGAATCTAAAGTATTTCCTAAGTGTTGTTAGGGTATACCTTAAGCAGTAATAGGTATGCACTAACCTTTAAGTTTTTTAAAAAAATGAGTTGGGAATGTGGTTTGTGGAAGGTTGGCAGGTAAATTGACGAATGGTATAAGATGTTCAACGACCAATGCCCATGTATAATATCATATTATATTATATATTATTATGTGTTATTTTATATGTATTATTTATATAATATTATAATATTATAATGTATCAAGTATAATAATAGTAATATAGTATGGTAGGTAAAATAATGTTAGCACATAGGTGATAGGTATAGATACAAGGAACAAGTGTACTAAATAATAACACTCTATAATATGATACAATTATTTAATAAACATTTGACTTCGTCAGTTTGTTCGTTTAGAAAGATACCTAAACTATCACTCACGCCATAGCGATTATCCAACCATTAGGTAGGGCAGTAACCCGTTTTACAAAAAGGTAAATTTCCAAACAATTCCCGCTTTTCACAAGACAAATTCCTTCCTACTTCATACAGACAGTCTCAAAAGGGTGTGGTTAAATATGAGTTGGTGTTTTTTTAAACTGTACCCTATTGAAAGTAAATTATGAAATATTATTGACGTTAAATATATAAAATAAAATATTAAAAATCATATAGGTTAAGTAAAATTAAAATTTTATATTAAATTCTATTCGACATATTTTATTAGATTACCTATCTATTTGATCTTCAATTCATCAATGATCATTTTTTTTAGATTACGCTTATTGGCTTATTTGAATTGTAGTTGTCTAATACCGGAGGTGTCTGGGAGTCTATATTTATGAAACATAGCGAAGGCATTAGGTGTGATGGATATTATCGGTAAGCTGATCGGCAAGGTGGAGTAGGTGGACCCTGCGCAGTAGTAAGCGAAAAACGAGTGAAAAAGTTTAAAGCGCGTTTTTCGTTCTAGCTACGTTCTGGCGATGATGTCGTAACTGGGAATCACGGACGTTTCGCCCCCGCCGTTTCGTCCCCGTCAAAAAAACCAGTCCACGGACGTTTCGTCACTGGCAATTATTGAGATAGGACATTTCGTCCCGGAGACTTTATTAGCCATAGGACGTTTGGTCCCCGGCATATTTTCATTAGGTATGTAGGACATTCGGTTCTCAAGTTATTAATTATTACTTCAAAGTTCATTATTTTACTTACATTAACTACATTTATTTTTAATGAACAATTCTGTAATGTCTTATATACAGTGTTGTAAAGTATTTGAGTAAAAGTATTCAAATAATTTTTTCCGTATTGAATGCTATTTTATTGAATACTTTTTTTTTATTCTTTTAATTCTTAATTTGTTTCCACTTATAATTATTCTTGTTAAATAAAAATACCACGACGTCATGGTTTTACTTTAACATTATAACAATTTAATATTATATATTTATTTAACTACCTACTTTATTTTAAGAGTATTTGATACAGGGAGTATTCAATACAGATGTGCAATGCGTCTGCAACGACTGCATTGGGACAAAAACAAAATGAAATAATAAATGTACCTACCGAAAAAAAGTTAGTTTTAAGGAAAAAAATTGTAATCATAATATTGTACGGGAAATATACCGGAGACCAAACGTCCTATGGCTAATAAGTAATAACCCATAGGGACGAAACGTCCTATCTCAATAATTGCCGGGGACTAAACGCCCGTGTACTGGTTTTTTTGACGGGGACGAAACGGCGGGGGCGAAACGTCCGTTTACCCGTAACTGGTAATGCTATAGCTCATAGTTTCAAAAAAATATTTATAATTGGAAAAAAATCATAATTTAAATGTAATCATATTACAATAATATGTATAATATTATGCTTTATAGCCATTCGGGTAAAAACGGCAATACGGGTATAAATAATACTGTTCAATAAGTTATCGCCCATCAGTCGATAAATCGTTCGTCACTTATATCTACCTATATAATAATATATAAAGTTGTAAAGTTTGTTTTTTTGTTTGTTTGAACGCACTAATCTCAGGAACTAGGTACCGGTTCGAATTTAAAAATTATTTTTTTGTTGGATAGTCCATTCATCGAGGAAGGCTATAGGCTATATAACATCACGCTACGACAAATTAATAGAAGCCTGGGAAAGTGCTCAAACAGGGATTTTGAGATTTACGGTGGAAATGTTTGCTTATAAATGTTTGCTATTGGTTATAGGAGAAATAATTAATAGAAATAGTATTTATTTAGTATTGGTTGCCATTGGTTATAATCGGGCAGATCAGGTACAAGCGTGCATCAAATCGAATTTTCACACATTGCCTACCAGGGTGCTATGGGTCACTGAGTTGTACTTACTCCAATGAGTTACATACCCAAAATTAATTGAACAATCACAATTTTTTTTAGGGTAGTCATTTTTTACGAGCCACGAAGTGAGCAGGACCAGCTAGTATTTTAATATATATAAAGGCATAGCAAATTCTAACCAAATTTGTATTCGCGCTATATATTTATATATATTTTTATGATATATTATAATGTGTAACATATAAGACATACAAACATAATACCTTTAGGTACAGTTATCATATTATTGGGGACATAATATGGTAAATTATAATAATTAATTTAGTTTCATAAATTAAATAAATTAACTAAAAAAATGTCGGGGGCGCTTTATCTCCCAACCCCCCCCCCCCTCAAATACGGCCTTCATTATTTTGCATGTCGAGTGTTGTGTAAAGCAAATTGACTTTTAGTTTTTATAAGCAAAAATAATATTAGTAATATTATAAGATATTGGGCAGCTGTGAAATAT